GGGGGGGGGGGTCAGCAAGTACTAACCCCTCAAAAACCGCAACAAAAATGTGGCGAGAAATCTGTGTGGATCATAAATATTCAGTGGTGAAGGTCTGATCTCTTTCTCTCTCCTCTCTGCTGTGTGTCTGTTTTTTTTTTTTCCTTTTCTGAGTGAAACCAGCTGTCGTCTGAAGAGACGCCGCTCCCTCTGGATCTGACAACATGCGTGACAATGACCACACCTCTGCTCGCACATCTGTCATCCTTCGGTCTCTTCATATTTCCAACTTTCTGTTTTTCCATTTTGCCTTCATCTTTCCAAGGGAAACATCGTCTTCTCGCTTTCAAAACGTTCAACCTTTCTAGGCTGCAAATGGGCTAATCACATCTCTTTTGCTGGCCAGCGATTTTCCAGACACAAACAGACAGGGTCGGGAATTGTAGGGGACTGCCGCCGCACAAAACTGGAATTCAGTGCTCTCTTTTTTCACATTTTATTGCAGAAACAAACTTTATTGGGCTAGTGAGTGATTGAAAATGAGTGAGGAATAGGGGGGTAATTTAAAACCAGTGTGGTCCCTGATAGGAGCATTGTGGACCACAAGCCTGTTCCTAATCCGCCCCTCAGCTTTGTGTTTGATTGGGTACTGTTGAAAATGGGGATGAGTCTGCCTCTTCAAAGCCTGTAACATAAGAGGAATGTGTGTGTGAGTCAAAGTGTGTGTGTGTCTGTATTAAGGTGATCACAAAAAGCGGATTGTGTGCAGATGGACAAATAGAAATTACACTGGTAAATTTTGCATAAGCCCTTTATGAGCTGTTTCACTTATTACTGAGCATTTTAAAGCCATTGCTTAAGCAATTACAGTCCTGGCTTCAGCACTTCAGTAATTATTAAACTTTCATGCCCGTGCCAAATTATTCATGTATTTAAAAAAGAAAAACAACAATAACCAGACACTCAATATTGTGCTTGGCTAAGAATGCCGTGTCTGATTGCGATGGGATACTTCAGCATTGGGATCAGGCCTTGGGTGAACATTTAGGTTTGGGAAAAGGGCTGAATACAAAAATTAGGGCGTGCCTGGGAATCTGAGGAAATACCAAAAAGAAAATATAGCTTTTTTATTAGTGTTTCTGAAGTTATGGTGACTGTAACGATAAGTCTTGGCCTTAATATGAGCTGGCCACGCTAGAATCTCAATTATTACTTGCCCTGTGGGCTAAATTGGGTGTTTCCAAAGTGGACAAACACTTAACTCCCAAATATGTGAGAATATGAGGAAAATATATGTGTCTAGTGGCACCCACTTTTTAGAGGAATAATCTATTCGGGATAAATCGAATTCAGAGAGCATTGTCCATTCATAATTTAGAAGTGATGACAGAAAATGTGCCATTTGAGGAGTATCCTTATGCATTATTGGCTTTGCGATGCATGCAAACGTCACGGCCAAAGATTTGATGAAATATGCAAAAATTCAGGGGTGAACTGGAGGAGAAGTTGCATTTTAAATGAATATGACTCATTTTTTTGGAGTACATACAGTATAAACAGCTCCTGGGTGGTGGTGGAGGAATGATCATGACAATAAGTTTTTTAATCACAAAGAAACAAAACAAAACAAAAAATCAGATTTGAGACACCACCATGGATCACAGGTAGGTCCCAGGTTCAATAGTTTTTCCAAAGTTGCCAATCTTTCTCTCTACATTCCTTGCTTCCAAGTCTTCCATTACTCACTTATAAATTTAGGAAGAACGGTCCTATTTCCTCCAGGCTCAAGCCCTTTTAAGCTCTACACCTCAGGCTATACTGTAACAGACTGTGTCAGGCTGGGCCGATCCACTTCAGGCCCCATCTGTTGGCATTTAGCACCAGCTTCCCCGCCTCTGCACAGATCTCCGGTCGACATTAACTGCCCTAATTTGTCTGCCAAAGCCCACTCTGATTGCTACCATGTGACGTTATGCGAAAGGTGAGGGATTCCTACTTATCTGTGAGG